AGAAGGGGGGGTAAGCGTAGGGGCTAAACACAGGTGCTGGCAGGTGTTGGGGCTGATCCCGCTAACGCTGCGTTTTTGGGGATGCTATACTAATGTGAACGCAGGTATAGTGCTTACCTGATCAAAGACATTGACCCGTTCAGACACTATACTAGCAATGAGGCTTATTGTACATGAGCGGGCTCCTGGCAATCAAGGGTTAAATGTGATGACTGGTGTACTGACGGGCAATCTGATGCTATCTGGGAGGGGTGTGAAAACCACGGGAGCGCGAATCACGTATATATATATATATATATATATATACAGTTGCAAGAAAAAGTATGTGAACCCCTTGGGATTACGTGGCGTTTTGCATGAATTGGGCATAAAATGTGCTCTGAACGTCATCTAAGTCACAACAATAGAAGAACACCGTCTGCTGAACATAATACTACACAAACATTAGATGTTGCCATGGTTTAATTGCACATAACATGTAAACATTCACAGTGCAGGGAGGAAAAAGTATGTGAACCTTTGGACTTAGTAACTGGTTGACCCTCCTTTGGCAGCAATAACCTCAACCAAACATTTCCTGTAGTTGCAGATCAGACCTGGACAACGATCTGGAGTAATTTTGGACCACTCCTCTTCACAAAACTGTTTCAGTGTAGCAATATTCTTGGGATGTCTGGTGTGAATCGCTCTCTTAAGGTCATGCCACAGCATTTCAATCAGGTTGAGGTCAGGACTCTGACTGGGCCACTCCAGAAGGCGTATTCTGTGCTGTTGCAGCCATTGTTTTGTTGAATTACTTGTATGCTTTGGGTCATTGTCCTGTTGCATCACCCATCCTCTGTGGAGCTTCAGTTGGCGGAGAGATGGTCGTATGTTTTTTCCTGCAAAATGTCTTGATAAACTCTGGAATTCATTTTCCCATCAATGACAACAATCCGTCCAGGCCCTGAGGCAGCAAAGCAGCCCCAAACCATGAGGCTCCCTCCGCCATGTTTTACAGTGGGGATGAGGTTTTGATGTTGGTGTGCTGTGCCTTTTTTTCTCCACACATAGTGTTGTGTGTTCTTCCCAAACAACTCAATCTTGGTTTCATCTGTCCACAGTATATTCTGCCAGTAGTGCTGTGGAACATCCAGGTGCTCTTTTGCAAACTTCAAACAAGCTGCAATCTTCTTTTTGGACAGCAATGGCTTCCTCCGTGGTGTCCTCCCATGTACTCCATTTTTGTTTAATGTTTTCCTTATTGTAGCTGTGTCAACAAAAATGTTAGCATGTGCCAGAGATTTCTGTAGGTCTTTAGCTGACACTCTGGGATTCTTCTTTACCTCATGCAGCATTCTGCGCTGTGCAGTCATTTTTACAGGATGACCACGCCTAGGGAGAGTAGCAACAGTGCTAAACTTTCTCCATTTGTAGACAGTCTGTCTTACCGTGGACACATGAACATCAAGGCTTTTGGAGATACTTTTGTAACCCTTTCCAGCTTCATGCAAGTCAACAATTCTTGATCGTAGGTCTTCTGAGAGCTCTTTTCTGCGAGGCATGGTTCACATCAGACAGTGCTTCTTGAAACCAGTAAACCCAAAACAGGTGTGTGTTTTTTAAGGGCAGGACAGCTGTCAGCAACACATCCAATATCATCACACTGATTGGAGTCAAGGTTGGCTCACTCCTGGCTCCAATTAGCTCTGGGAGAAGTCATTAAGCTAGGGTCTCACATACTTTTTCCTCCCTGCACTGTGAATGTTTACATGTTATGTGCAATTAAACCATGGCAACATCTAATGTTTTTGTAGTATTATGTTCAACAGACTGTGTTCTTCTATTGTTGTGACTTAGATGACGTTCAGAGCACATTTTATGCCCAATTCATGCAAAACTCCACGTAATACCAAGGGGTTCACATACTTTTTCTTGCAACTGTATATATATATGTGTGATTTTGTGTACCCATGCCGCCCTGTAGCAGTATTTCTGCTGTAGGGTGGTCAGGAAGCGGTTACAGAAGAGGTTTGTGTTACGGCGCTGTGTTTCTTTAACTGACAATTGCGTGGTCATGCAACACTGCACCCAAATAAATTTACATCCTTTTTTACCCACAAATTGAGCTTTCTTTCGGTGGTATTTGATCGCCTGTGCGGTTTTAATTTTTTGCGCTATAAAGAAAAAGGCTGACAATTTTGAGAAAAAAACACAATATTTTGGACTTTTTGCTACAAAAACATGTCCAGTAAAAAAAATTACAAAATCTAATTTTGTCACAAATTTCATCCAAAATGCATTCTGCGACATGTCTCTGCTAGAAAAAATCCCAATACGTGTAAATTAATTGGTTTCCATGAAAGTTATAGTGTTTACAAATGGCGGGAAAGATACTGGGATTTTTTTTTTTTTTTTATACTAATAATGGCGGCGATCAGCGACATATGACGGTGATCAGCGACTTATGGCGGCGATCAGCGACTTATGGCAGGACTGCGGTGGACATTTTGACACTGGGGGGGAACTGACTTGGGGTCACTGACATCCCCAGTGACACCAATACAGTGATCAGTGAAAAAAAAACCCACTGACACTGTACTAATGGCACTGGGGAGGAAGGGGTTAACATTTTTTAGGGTTAACTGTGTGAGGGGAGTGTTTTACTAGGGGGCGGGGGTGTGTGCCTTGCGAGCGCCTCCTACCTGTTTTGTAAAACCACGTTTTAAAACGTGGTTTTGCCCAGCCGTGCCGCCCTGCAACCTTTTTTATGCAGTGGCTGGGGCTCAAGCAGTTAAAGTAGAATTCAATGATAGAACAAAACTAAATTTTAAAAAAAGCTCACTCTCTCCTCCTATCACCTATCCTGACCAACCTGTGTACTAAGTACCACTAAGTGTGACTCTTTATTCAAGGGTGTGCGCCCCATGCTACAGTCCGTGTGCAAAAATTTGGTTCTGGGGCAGCAAGCTACAGCAGAGACAGCGGGAAGATTTTGGTGGCTGGAAAAGATTGAGAACATTTTACAGCTGAAGAGAGGTGGCCTGTTGTGGCTTTGAACTTTGCTTGGGCAGGTTAATCCAACTACCTCTATTTCACTTTCTGTTTCGGTGGTGGAGCAGAAGATGGGGGATGGGGGGGGCAGTTTAGGGGGGTGGTTGTGTGTCGTTGTTGCCCTTTAAACAAAATAAAGCCCCCAATAAAAACACATAGTGTGTCAAAGTGGTGTCTTCTTTCCTGCCTCAAATCACTCCCCCGCACAGTAGTATTATCCCCCCCCCCCCCGTTCCCGCGATGTCCTCTTCCCTCTTTTACATCACCTCCCCCAGTAATATACTACACACACATAGTGTCCTCTGCCCCCCCCCCCATTGCAGTGTCCCCTGCACCCCCCTCCACAGTAGTGGTCTGTGCAACCCCCTCCCCCACAGTAGTGACCTCTGCATCTTTCTGCCCCACATTAGTGTCATCTGCCCTTCTATAGCTTTTTCCTCTGCTCCCCAAATGTGAAGGTAGCTCTCTCTTACCTTACGGCAGCTTCAGAGTAGACATCAGAGTAGAGTGAGAGTCAGCACAGTGCTGGATGGAGGACGGGAACGGGAGCTGCCAGAGTTAACTTTTCATGTTAAAAAGCAGATTATTGGCTGCTAGGACCGCCTAGCAACCAATCACCTGCTGGTTAATTTGCAAAGTTAACTAAAGCAGCTGCTGTGCTCCCACCCTCCATCCAGTAATGAGGAAAGAACAAAGAGAGGGTGCACAGGCCTAGTGCATTACCATAAAAAATGTTTAATAAGAAATAAAATAGGTGTTGTACTCACAAACGAGAATAAAGTCAAGGCACATCATAAAAGAACAGCTGGGTCAACACCGTGCTGAGTAACAGTCCGCAATGGGGAGTGTAGACAACCAATAGGCTGACGCGTGTCAAGGGCTTGCCTCTTCCTCAGAGCCAACTGACCAAATGTCTGCTCCCTCTTTTATATGCTCACTACTAGTTAAACCAAAGGTGACATGGGCCGTCCTGGACACTCCCCTATGCAGGTGGAGGAGTCACAGGGGCAATTGACATAGTATAAGTAAACACAAACTAGTGACAATCATAAAATCATATGAACCATAAGAGGTGTGAAAATGAAAAATAAATAAGTAGAAAGTTACACATATATATATATATTAAAAATCCTTCCCTGGTGATGCACTGCACTGCTCGCATTTAAATAAATGGATGGATGGATGAGCAACGCTACGAAGCTGCCTAGTGCTCTGCTTGCCATAGACAACCATGGGACATGGATATAATGAAGAGAGTAGATCTGAAACCCAGCAGAGACACTTATTAATTCATAGAAATGCAGCCTACAGGGTGTGTACTATTATTCTAGTATAGTCATATGTGATGAAACTTAGGCATGTGTGGCAATGCAGTGCACCATGGATGGATATGCATATGCGATACTATATATAGGGAAAAAGGAGATAAATCACTAGTATAAACATAAATGTTAATATAAAACGTTACAAAAAACTTCTTAATATGGTTTACAAAGTATAAATAAAAGTATAAATAAAATGAAATAAATATTGTTACCATATAGTATAATATCTGGTAAAATCGGTATAGTGTATGGTATACGTGTGTATGCATAAACATGGAAGCATAGGAAATATAAATATATAGGGAAAAAAAAATAAATATATAATATATATATATATATATATATATATATAAATGAGAAATAAAAAAATATTAAAAAAAATATTAAAAAATGAATTCTAAAAAAAAAATAACAAAATTGTAAAAAATATATGTGTGTTTATATATAAGAATATAGATGTCAAAGGTATTATGGAACAAGCACTTGCATAATGAGAAAGCAGTGCTCGGAGAGAGCTCACTGGACCACATGCATGCGCACATGTGTGTGTAACACGTCCATATGAGTAACTGCTTTCTTGTAAAAACAAAAAAAATGTATATACATACATACATACATAAACATAGGGTGGGTTCCCTCTCACCAGTGGGTGAGAGGGAACCCAGAGTAAAGATCCCATATGTCTCCTTCTTGCATAGTCTCTGGAATTTTCTTCCACCATCTGAATCTCCTGTGATGGATTCAATCCCAAAGACTTTCATGCCTGATGGATCACCACCGTGTGCCTCCCGAAAGTGCGTGGTACGGAATATTTGTATTTGCCTTTGTTGCTCTCCTTGTGATTAATGATGTTACATTTGTGTTCGCCAAACCTGACCCTCAAGGGACGCATGGTTCTGCCAACATATAGGAGGTGTAAGGGACCGCCTGGCGGTACCACTAGCTCTCCACTGAATAGGCGTCCCCAGCGCACGGAGTCTAAGTCCCAGGGTGCTTGTTCACGAGGGCCCCTGATGGTGGGGATGGACTTGGAGCCCCCTGAGACCAGGTCGTGGCTACTGGGTGCGTCCGTCAGTGGTAGTGGTATGCGCCAAGGGCTCCCACGGGAAAGAGTCTGATATGAGGAGGTCAGCAGACCCCACTGCAAGGGATGGATGGATGGATGAGCAAGGTCAGACGGGCCGGGTCGGTAACAGAGAGGACGGCAAGGTACAAGGCAGCGGGCATAGAATGGTCGGGTCACACGCCAGGTCAGCAACAGCAGGTCAAATCCAATAGGGGGCATCCAGGAGAGAGGTCAGGCAAAGCAAGGGTCAGAATAGGAGAAAACAGCAAGGTCAGGTACAATCCGGGTCAATAACTTACAGGGTACAGGTTCGCAGAATCACAGGATGCAGGAAAGACCAGAAGGCACTGAATGACAGCTCAGGGCCATTTAAATATCCCGCCCTGCGCTGCCATTGGTGCCCAGCGGGTGGCCGCGGCTTCTACTGCGCATGCGCGAACTCGTACGCCGCGGCCGGCCCGGACCTAGTGCCCGTGTCCCTGCACAGGGCGGTGCACTGCGCCTGCGCCGGGACCATCGCGGCGGGGATCGAGGAGATCCCTGACAGGAGGCCACAGGGGCAGATGAGCCCATAGATCACAAAGGGAGTGCCAGAGTTGATAAACTGCTTAATCTTATATGTACGGCCAATGATGCCAGCCACCTCTTTCTTTCTGTGGCACATGTATTTGCAGGTTCCACAACTGCTCACACCACATTTGAAACTGCCCATTTGATCAAACAGGGCAGACCAAGGATCGACCGTATTACTGGCACCAGCAAGAGGTTTCTTTATTCTACTGGGTGCTATGTGACTCCTGAGATCCCTAGGTTTCCTGGACACAATTTCGGGTCTCGGGTCAAGGCTCTGACCAAGGACTGGGTCCTGCTTAAGAATTTTCCAATGCTTTTGAATGCTTCGCTGTATGTCGAAGGCTTTAGTATTGAACCTGGTGGAAAACCTGACCTGGTTATTAAATCTATTGTTGGGGTCTTTAGTGGCTTTCTTGGCAGCTGTGTGTGGTATATGTAGTGGACTCTCTTCATATTGGCCCCAATACTTCTGGTATGCTTCCTTGATGTGGACCTCACTGTAGCCTTTTTCTAGGAACTTGGTCCACATCGAGCCACAAATGTAACATCATTAATCACAAGGAGAGCAATAAAGGCAAATACAAATATTCCGTACCACGCACTTTCGGGAGGCACACAGTGGTGATCCATCAGGCATGAAAGTCTTTGGGATTGAATCCATCACAGGAGATTCAGATGGTGGAAGAAAATGGGGGGAGCATCAGCACAGCCCTGATCATGATCTACCTGTTGATTGTGGAAAGCTGACAGGTAGATCATGATCAATGGGTTGCCGGCCCTGGAGAGAGTACAGTTTATCTGTTAAGTACCATGATTTTCCTGCAAAGTATTAGCTGGCCCCTAGACATCACAAGTAATCTACACTACACTAACGGGCCCACTTGAGCACAAGACTGTCCAGGAGCATAACGCTTCAGCCCAAAACTATCTCACATCCCATGTGGATACTATTTCTACCATTTGGGGCAGTGTCTCACCGACTAATCTCTTATTCATTACTCATAGCAGTAAAAAGGTCAGACTTCCAATTTAATCTCCAGCTTCAGGTCTGTTTTGAACACATCCATCGTCACAGGTCAGTCCCACCTGCTTGTATATGACTTCCAATGAAATGTTTTGCTTTTATTGTTAACAAGTTAATACTAAAGAGATTTCTCTGAATATCAACATTTGAAGCTGTAACTCCATATTCCCATATCCATAAGAATTTACTCACAGTTGTCATAACAAGAGTTTTCTAAAGATTTTCCCAATGCATTTCAAAGTATGTTCTTCATCAGGGTCTGGAGGTAGGCTCTGTATGCAGAAAGAACATATACAATGAAACAACCATTAAACAGAATGCACTTATTTCAGAATATTGTGTATATTCACATGTGCTGCAAATCTTCACTTTACAAAGTAAATGATGTATAGTAATTATCAGACAAGGTGATAGTTAAAACCAGTTTCCCAGCAATGCGGCCACTGCATCCACCCATAAGGACCCTAGGAATGCACAGTAATTGATGGGTCACTGAAACGGTAAACAATAGAAACGAGAAATACAGCATCTTCAGGGTGGCATGGAGAGTGTGTATAATTCCTTCTGGCCTGAAAAAAGTCTTCTTTGTGAGAAGTTAAAGCTCACCTCTCTGGACAAATATGTCCCAGCCATTCACTATTTTTTCCTAAAAAAAAAAACCCCTCCAACACCTTTTCTACTCACCTGAGAACACTATCATATGCCTCTTCTACCAGTGGAGATTAGTAATCCAACACTGCAGTCCATGCCTACACTGACCAGTCCCCATGATGTAATGTTATCCAGTTATTGCAGTCTTCTGAAGCCTGAGAGAAGCAAGCCCTGAAAAAACAGTAGGAAGTTTCCATGTCACACAGACAGTGAGATGGGCACCAGAAGAAGAACCCTCTCACTCATTGCAGTGAGGATGATAGAAGACTTGGAACCTGGTGCTTCACGTAAACTATGGATTTAGGTAAGTAAAAAAGGCTTTTCGGTAGGTTTTTTTGTAAACCCAATGATTAGTTAGGGAATGGGCGTGGATAGCATTCCCAGAGATCAGCTTATGTCACATTGGGCAGCACAGCGGCTAAATGGTTAGCACGTCCGCCTGGCAGTACTAGGATCATTGGTTTAAATCCCAACCATGGCACTACCTGCCTGGAATTTGCATGTTCTCATTGTGTCTGCGTGGGTTTCCTCCGGGTAATCCGGTTTCCTTCCACACTCCAAAGACATGCTGGTAGGTTATTTGGATCCTGTCTAAATTGGTCCTAGTATGTGTATGTATGAATGTGAGTTAGGGACCTTAGATTGTACACCCCTTGAGGGTTAGGGACTGATGTGAATGTACAATATATATGTAAAGCGATGCATAAATTGACTACGCTATAAAAGTACCTGAAATAAATAAATAAAATAAATATTGACATGAGATTTAGGCTCCACTCTCTGGCAATGCTTACGAACAATAAAAACAGTTTAAACACAAATACACAAAATGTAGACATCCGTGCAGCAAAATGAAAAAAAAGATCATATTTTAACACTAAAAAATATGCTTTCTTTTACTTCATCAGCTTTCTTTCTCTCTTTTTCACTAGTCGTATCTTTTATCTGTTGCTATCTTATCATATCTATATTATCTTATTATCTATAGGGATAGTACGGATATTTTCTCATTTCTATTTGTCCATGATACTTAAAGTCATTTTCAAGGCCGGTGCCGATGTTGTGTGCAGCATGGCTTGTGCGGCACCTCATTGGCTGAATACCTCTTCAAGGATTGGCTGAGGTTTTTGCTTTGTCTCCAGCTAACATCATCCAACCTGGGGGGCGGTCACACTAGAACCCAGAAGTGACTTTTTTATATGTTGTTTCCGGGTCATTACAGGAGGGAGAGATCAGTGAACAGGTGTTTACTGATCTCTCTTCTACCAGTGGCACCCACCATGCAGGTCCCAGGTCCACTGATTGGAGCACAGAGCCTGGGGAAGCATGACAGGGCACATGGGAGGTTAGATATACAGATATACAGAACCTTCTGTACTGTGTGATCATCATCATGATAATGCAAAAGCACAGTGAGAGCGCTTTCTGTTTGTCCTTATTTACACTTCTGTTTGAGGAACATTAAAAATGTGCAGCCGAGCCACACTTTTACCATCTTACCGTCCCCCAACCACTCACTATTATGCTGCATAGGCAATGCCACCATAGTACAGTAGTGGGGGAGGGGTTGTAAACACACAACACCCAGCCACTGTTTTGCCATATTATGGTGGTAGTGCCTTTGCAGGAAAATGGGGAGTGGTTGGGGGATGGAAAAAGTGTGGCTCAGCTGCACAGTTTTAATGTTCCTCAAACAGAAATGTAAATAAGGACAAACAGGAAGCATCTCACTGTGCTTTTGCAATCATCATCATTATCATGATGATGATCACACGGTACAGAAGCTGCTGTATGTCTGCCTGTATACATTGTACGTCTGTATCTCTGTCTGTCTCAGAAAAGTGAAATTGTGAGCTTGCCTGTGCATTGGGTTCCCATTTCTGCCTGTGCCCCTCGGCCTCCTCCTGCCACTGGGATACAGCCTCGCCTTTCAGCCTCCTCAGAGGAGGAAAGGATAATCACTCTGCCAGTGAAAGGCTGTAAGCAGCTGGCCGCCACTGATCAGCATTGCAAAATGCAGCACAGCTTAAGCTGCCTGCATCCAAAATTTAAAAAAAAGAGCCCCTCTCTGCTCCTTGCCTCCTGGGCCCCTCTGGTTAAACTGATGGGGCCCAGGGAAAATACAATGAATGTTACAGCAGCGGCTGCCTAGTGGTAGCACCGGCCCCTAACCCTTTGTGGCAGAAGCACTGGCTGTCACAGTGTACATGTGATAAGTGACACTAGGGGAGCCAGATTTGACTTTGGGAAAGAGTGCCCTCAGCTTAGAACAGGTTGCACAATGTAGGAGTCTGATCAAAGCAATGCTGAATGATTTTCTTACTCACCAAAAACAATCCATACACATCTACTACATAATGGCCCAATAACGATAATCTATATGCTTCATGAAATAGTGTTTTTCTGCCTGCTTATAACATCCTCTGTGAGCTCCCAAACGTGTCACCTTTTCCCCCCATTTGTTTGGAACCAGCAGTTCTTGTTAGTTGTGGCCATGTGCACTGTTCTAATGCACACTACCAGGGGTGGACTGACAACTCATGGGGCCCCTGGGCAATAGGGGATCATGGGGCCCCTGTGTCCTTGCCCAAACTCAAAAAAGCCTATGAAAAAGGTACCAGGGGCATCTCATGGGGCCACCTACTGACCCCGGGCCCTCGGGCAGTGCGCCCGAGTTTCCAAATGGTCAGTCCACCCTCCTGCACACTACTCATAGTTCCTAGTCCATCTCAGGAGCAAGATAGTGTAGTTAAGTACATATATTGAGAGCATGGAGAACATAACAGAAAGTTTCATCACAATAAGAATACATACTTGAAAAAAAACTTTTTCTTAGTGTCACTTAAAAGGATAGGACCTGCTGTCAACCAGCGAAGGATCTTGTGATCACATTACTTGAATTTTGTACAGGGCTTAGCACATTTAATTCATAACTGCACTTGATTGCATGAATTGCCTGAGAAATGTGTGCTACAAAATAAAAGCTTAGGGATCCCTATAATTATGGCTATGCAATTTTAATTTGCCTATTTACAAAAATATGTTAAGTCATAAATCAAAAACTCTTTCTGCTCTGTAGACCATACAATATAGAATGAGGAAGGCTATTACCTTTAGCATTTTTAACTAATTACACGTACAATCGATTACCGTATGCTCAGTTCTAAAAAGTGTATTATGCACAATAAAATTTTTTTTTTATTTTTTATTAAGCCACAAGTGCAATGAGTCTCTTTACCAGGTCTATTTATAAAAGTACTTTAGGTTCAATCAGCTGCAATACAGGAATTCTGTAGGATTTATTTATAAATTACTGAAACACCTGCCCGAGTCTGTCTTAACACTGCACTTCACATCTCCAAAAT